GCCCTCCTTGCCAGCCTAGCATGCTCGGCCCTGGACCAAAAGGACACCCCCCTCATTGCTTTGGTCTTGGGGGATCAGGTGTGGCCCTGCCCTGGCCCAGCTTGCCTTGACAGCCGAGCATCCTTGGCCCTGGACCAAAAGGATGCCTCCCTCATTCCCTCTGAGAAAGCCTTCTTGGGGATGTGGGATGTGTAGTGTGGTGCTTTGAGGCATCAAGTGTGGCCCTGCTCAGGATGTCTTGCCATCCTGGCCTCCTTGCCCCCAGGACCTCTGGAGTGTGTGGGATGTGTAGTGTGTGGTGCTTTGGGCAATCAAGTGTGGCCCTGCCCTGGCCCAGCTTGCCTTGACAGCCAAGCATCCTTGGCCCTGGACCAAAAGGATACCCTGGACCAAAAGGATACCCCCCTCATTCCCTCTGATAAAGCCTTCTGGGAATGTGGGATGTGTAGTGTGGTCCTTTAGGGCATCAAGTGTGGCCATGCCCATTTCCTCTCATCTGCCTGGTTTACAGGGCAGCTGTTTCCGGGTGAGAAGAAAAGGAGCATTGACTGGAGAGCAGGTCTGGCAGTGCCTTCTCATCCTTGTTAGTCCCCCTCACAAACCTTTCTTGTCAGCTGGACCCTGCCAGAGACCCCAGCCGCAGGTTGCTACATGGCCCTCCCTAGTATATGCTGCAAGCCCTTCTAAGCCATCCACAATGAAAGTAAGGACCTCCACCTGGGACCTGCAGACCACCCGACCACCCACCCCACTCCAGTAGGGCCCTCCTTCCCAGTTAAGAGCCAGTCCATTTAGACAAGCAGCCCATGAGAAGACCCTCCTTGGGAGGTGAGGCAATAATTGGTGGGTGTCAGGTAATGGGCAACCATGAGAGTCCTCCTTCCCAGCCTGACATCCTTGCCCCAGGACCAAAAGGACATTGCCCCTGAGAAAGCTTTTTTGGGGAAGGGCATCATAGAAGCCTAGAGTTGGAAGAGACCCCAAGGGCTATCCACTCCAACCCCCCTGCCTTGTAGGAATTCATATTCAAAGCACCCCCAACAGATGGCCATCCAGCCTCTGTTTAAAAATATCCAAAGAGAGAGACTTCACCACTCTCTGAGGCATCATGTTCCACTGTCAAACAGCTCTTACTGTCAGGAAGTTCTTCCCAAGGTTTAGGTGAAATCTCTTTTCCCATAGCTTGAATCCATTGCTCTGGGCCCTAGTCTCTGGAACTGTAGAAAACAGACTTACTTCATTTTCAGTATGACATCATAGAATCATAGAATCATAGTTGGAAGAGATCTCAAGGGCTATTGAGTCCAACCCCTTGCCATGCAGGAACTCACAATCAAAGCACCCCCAAGAGATGGCCATCCAGCCTCTGTTTAAAGACCTTCAAAGAAGGAGACTCCAGCACACGCCAAGTGAGTGTATTCCATTGTCAGGATGTGTGGTGTGATGCTTTGGGGCATCAAGTGTGGCCCTGCCTGTTTCCTCTCACCTGCCTGGTCTATAGGATGGCTATTTCCAGGTGAGAAGAAAAAGAGCATTGACTGGAGAGCAGGTCTGACAGTGTCTTCTTATCCCTTTAGTCCCATTCACTGACCTTCATTGTCAGCTGTCTCCCTCGGACCCTGACAGAGACCCCAAACACAGGCTGCTACATAGCTTCCCTAGTACATCTGCAAGCCCTTCTTAAGCCATCCACACTGGCCCTTGCTTTCATTCATTTGAGCTGGGCTCCTGCTGTTCCTTTTGGCCTTTCAAAACTTCAGTCTTACTTTCCATCATCTTTGCCCTTTCCTCTTTCTTTCCCCTTGTTCTAAAATATATCACTCTGTAGAGACATGCCATTTGGTACCAAAACCTGTGTTTCTTTCACCTGCCACCTTGTCGGGCTTACTGCAGGGAGGGTGAGAAAGAGCGAGGTCTTACTGCAACACATCACTGAGAAATCTTATTTCTTGCCAATCCTGCCTCTTTCCCCCCTTATAATACCTCAAATAGCTCTCTAAGACGCCCTACTCCCCACATTTCTTTTTCATTGTGCAGTAGAAAGTAAATTAATATATATATTAAAATATATCAACCACAAGTATGGATTCTTCCACATTAGTGTTCTTGAATTATTGCTTACGCATAGTTCAGGACTTAACCTTTGCAAACATCTGTTCAGGGCTAAAGTCATCAACTGAGGGCTAAGTGGATTTGTGGGACTTGCCTCTACAACCTTCCCTTGAATGAAATCTCACCTTAATTATGCTGTTCCAGCCCTTGTCCTGTGCAAGAAAAAACAGAGCAATACAGTAGACTAAATATGGGAAAAGATCCTCATGCTACTCCAAATAGCCTGTCTTTGTCAGGGCACCTCCTTGACACATTCCTATGGCTGTTTTGTAGGGGTACTTTTTGCTTCTGCATAATAGCCAAATGTGTGATTGTGTGTATATACAGTACATGTGTGCATGCACATGCACACATGAACACACACTGTATGTATGTATGTATGCACTTACACATTGGGGTAGGAATCATGTGGTGTCCTTCAGATGTTGGAGTACAATGTTCAGCATTCCTCACTATAGGCTATGCTTTCTAATAATAATAATAATAATAATAATAATAATAATAATAATAATAATAATAATAAATTTTATTTATAGCCTGCGTCTCCCTGCAGATCAAAGCAGGTTACAACAAATAGGAATAACAATAAAGCACAATATACAATTAAAACCAGATTTCTAAATAATCCCCTACCCCAACCCCTTCCCAATCATAAAAAAGAAAAAGAAGCAAACTAAAAATAATAACACTATAAAATGAATAGCAATATAAAACACTATAGTAATAATAATAATAATTTAGGGCTGTTGGGAATTGTAAGAGCTCTTGGACAGTGGAATAGACTACCTCAGAGGACAGTGGATTGGTGGTCTTTAAGCAGAGATTGGATGGCTATCTTTCAGGGGTGCTGTTGCTGGGTATTCCTACATGGCAGCAGGCTAGATTAGGGGGCCCTTGCGGACCCTTTCAGCTCTACGATTCTATGATTCTGTGAACATCTGGAGCACCACAGGATTTCAGCTCCAGATACACACATACGACTTCTGTGCTCCTAATTGTAGTCCTAAGGGACTGGCCTTCCAGTGTATTTTCCTCTCATGAAATAGGCAGCAGGAGCGGAGGGAGGCACTAGTTAGGACCACGAAGTGGATGTTTTCTTCTGCCAGTCCTCCACCCACAGGCTTGGCTGAACTATGACTTTGAGATTACATCCAGAGGAGGAAAGTTGCTACTGATTGGCACTATTTGCTGTGATGAAAGAGAGAGGGGCAGAAGCTGCTATACTGTGTGCATGTGTAGGTGTGAAATGATGTTGCATGGGCTCCTTAGCATTGTGTACTGAGTGCTGAGTTCAGAACATGGGAATAGAGCATGGCAGTTGGGACAAGAAGAGCTGGCCCCTGACTTTTAGTGCGAGTAGGCAGCACATTTTCCAAGGGCTTTGGGGAAAGGAACAAG